TGAGTTGCTTTCTCACTGTATCCCTGGTCTGAAGCAATGTTGTCTCTCTCTGCAGGACAGTTCAACGCTCTTTCCTTTAACTAGCTGGGTCTGCAAGGTCAGAGGTTTCAATACCCATGATATGTGTGGATCCAGTCTGGAGCATGTGATAGTGATACATCCAGTGTATATCTGTGTGTGTAAATGGTTTAACCTATTTCCTGCATATTCTAATTGGAATTAATATCTACCACTCCAAAAACTATTAGGGAATTAATAGTTGCCAAATTGTCTCCCTAAGTTTGTAATGGGTTTCTCCTCTGCTGTGGCCATTTGTAACAGGCGTTATGTATCTGGTTAGCAGTCTCAGCTTTTTTTCTTTTTTCTGTTGTTGTCTGACTAGACAGAGGATCTTTTTCTTCTGAGGTTTAGGAAAATGTCACTGTTGGCCATACAAATCATATCCTCACTAAAATGTAAAAAAGGCCCTTTTTGTGTTTTAGGAAAGTGTGAAAGTTTTGGAATTGAGTCACAATGTCATTTGTGCACTAGGGTTTTCTTACTTGGGTTCTGGATGTCTCTTTTTGAGATGTGAGCTCTGTGTGCAGACATTGAATATGTGCAGATGCTTCAGAATTACTGCCTGGTGAAGCAGTTGGCTGCTCCCACCCAGCCATGACAACAGGCAGTGCCAGCTCAGCAGGGAAGGAGGTGATTTGGATCCTTTTGCAACAGCAGTGTCTTCATCCTAATGTAGCTCAGAGTAGAGCTGGAAAATGCACAACAAAATCTTCCTTTGGCTTGCAAGAGGGCCTTGGGTGTTCTGTCTTCTCAGGATTGTCTTGGAAATACAAGAACACACAAATTTTTAGGGTACACTGTAACTAGACAGAGTTGTAGAAACATGTTCATTGGTTTTGAATGCATTGAAGGAAAACTCCATAAATACTACAAGCTAATTTTTGAGAGGAAGAGTAAAGAAGGACTTGAAAATAGTCAATGAGATTGGTCTTTTCATTGTTGTTCCTGAATCCCAAGGCTTCTTGATGGGACTAGAAAGCTGTCCATGCATGATTTTCTGTGTTTGTGTTTGAGCATTTGCATTCCCATGCTTGCCCTTTCTCCTCTGAAATGGACTGAGCATTGTGCTGAGCCTGTTCCTCTAGAGAAGGACTGCCACCCCATCTAGAATAAATGATTGTTTGAATGATGTCTGTGATGCACAAAAGAATCAGAAAGCCTCCCTCTCACACTGTAGTGTGCTGAAGTGATGCAGTTTAACATTGTAAATTGGTATAACTGTGTGATTAGAAATTGAAAAATTGTGTTAGACTGAAATAAAGAGACCACCCTGACTCCTTCAGTGGAGACAAAAGTCCTTGTAGAGATGTTCTTTCTGGGACAGCCCTGTCAAGGCATTTCAAAATTCTGTGAGTTACTTTCCCACTGTATCCCTGGTCTGAAGCAATGTTGGGTGGGCACAGTTCCTGAATGTGGATTTAACATTGTAAATTGGTATAACTGTGTGATTAGAAATTGAAAAATTGTGTTAGACTGAAATAAAGAGACCACCCTGACTCCTTCAGTGGAGACAAAAGTCCTTGTAGAGATGTTCTTTCTGGGACAGCCCTGTCAAGGCATTTCAAAATTCTGTGAGTTACTTTCCCACTGTATCCCCGGTCTGAAGCAATGTTGGGTGGGCACAGTTCCTGAATGTGGAGATGCAACAGGACACAGCTCATTGGCATGCCCCTGCTGGCACCACCAGCCTGTTCCTGCTCGGTTTCTCCTGCTGAGGGATGGGGCTCTGTCCTCCTGGACTCCACGTCATCTTTAGGCTGGACCAGGGCCCGGATGAGGAACAGGATTTCCCCGGTGTCCCTGTGGGCAGCGAGGACATGGCCCCAGGCACTGCTGGGACTCTCTCTGCAGGACAGTTCAACGCCCTCTCCTTTGACTAGCTGGGTCTGCACAGCCAGAGGCTTCATGGCTCTTGGGAGAGGGGATCCAGGCTGCAGCATGTGGCAATGGTTCCTCAAGAGTCAATGTGTTCCAAATTGGCGTAGTTAGTGTCCTGCAAATTCTAAGTCAGAGTAAAATTTGTCTTCCCCTCCAAAAACACAAAGAAGGCAAAAAAGGCACTCAGATTCATTCCCTCAGACAATATTGTATTTCAGCTGTGTCTCAGTCATTTCTGGTAGGCTTTCAGAATGCACTCCCAACTATGCTCTTGTTTCTCTTGCTTTCAGATCAGACATTGGACTGCTTATTCTTCGTTAAAGCTCAGTGGCACAGCTGTGTACACTACTATCACACTTGCTGAAATGACAGTTCTTTTCCCC